GATGGGCGCTGGGATGGAACTCGCTGCAATACCTAATCAACTCGGAAATCTACCCCTTGAGACTGCGAGCAATTGGTGGAAGTTTCGCTATGACGTTCCATTTCATCAATCAGTACGGAAACTCTAAAGTACGTCTCTCCCTTCCACCTCCCATCTCCTACCCCCCCCCAACAAACACACACAAACACAGAGACTAACAAACCCCGCCTCCCTAGGCCGTCCCCTTAATGTTCATATCCATGTCCCACGGCGGCACCATGCTCTTCTTCTCCTGCGTCACCGCCATCGGTCTGATATGGGTATGGTTCTTCCTCCCCGAGACCACGGGTAAGAGTCTCGAAGCCCTCGACGAGATCTTCAATCTTCCCTGGTACCTTATTGGCAGGAAGGGCGCCGCGCTTACGAGGGGGAGTGGCGCCATGTCTGAGGTGTTGGATACCGCGGGCGAGAAGAGCGTGCAGGTGCATATGGAGGAGGAGGGTGTTGATGCTCAGGGGCGCAGGACTTAGGTGGGGAGGATGGAGGAATGGGGTTGTTGGTGGAGAGGGATGGGGTGGGGTTTAGGGGTGTTGTGATACCGCCTGCCTCCCTCTCCACCCTGTTTGTTTGGTAAATGTCGAAATCTGACGTTATGAAATTATGAATGAAATTCAATGAAATATGTTCAATTTATTAACTTTTCATTTCACTGACTAGATTTACACAATACTCGTCCTCTTCCTTACTTTCATTCTTGTTCTCGTTCTCATAACCACTCCTTTCTCGTCTTCCTCTCCCCTTACCTTTTCTTTCCATCCCATTCATCTCCCTTTTACCCATCAATCCATCCTTATCCATAACGTCAATCTGTCCCACCTAAACATCACTATCGCATTTACATGAATCACCAACATCAATCGTAGAAGCAAACCATTTCATACAATTTAACGTATTTGGTATAACCCTATTAACCTATCCTATCCATATATACACCTGAAAAAAGATGCCAAGTCCAGCCCCAGTGGCCGGACAAACCAAGGAAGAAAGAAAAGGACTATCCCGCTATCAAAGCCCCAGTCTCTTTTCTCGTCAAGTCATAAATCATGACACGTCTAGAAAATGTTACCCCCTTAGGGGGAGAAAAAGGGAAAACCTATGCAAGCAAAATTCCACTCAAACTCCATCATTTCCTTTTCCCTTTACCCCAATCCTCAATCCACCACGTCAAGTTCTTTCGTTTAATCGTAAAGATCCTCCGCCATAGCCTCATCCTCCAACTCCTCCAACGCATCAGACTCATCATACATCTCACTATCATCGTCACTATCCGTGTGGTTGGGCAGGACCTGGATATGACCATCCTCCAGCACCACCTCTGCAACCTCTCCATCCTTGATGCTGCCCCTCAGAATCATAACCGCCATGCGATTCAGCACCTCCTTCTCGATCAGCCTGGCCAGGGGCCTGGCACCATAGGCGGGCGAGTATCCAGCGGAACCGAGATAGTCGCGGACCTCGTTAGTCATCTCGATGTGCACATTGCGACCGTTTGCATTGAGACGTTTCTGGATCTCGCCCATGCGCACGTCGACAATCTTGCGGATCTCGCGCTTAGTGAGACGGTTAAAGATGACGACTGAAGAGATACGGTTCAGGAACTCGGGTAGGAAGTAGTTGCGTAGGGCACCCATGACCATTTCGCGCGTCGTGAGGTCAATCCTGCCATCCGGTGCATTCGGGCGTGAAAGATATTCGGCACCGAGGTTAGATGTCATAACAACGATGCAGTTCTTTGCGTCGATGACCCTGCCTTGGCCATCGGTGATGCGACCATCGTCCATGAGCTGCAGGAGAACGGTGAGAACTTCCTTGGCGGCCTTCTCCACTTCGTCGAAGAGAAGGATGGAGAATGGGCGTCGACGGAGGGCTTCGGTCAGCTGACCTCCTGCGTCGTGGCCGACATAGCCGGGCGGTGCACCAATCATCCTGCTCAGGGAGTGGCGCTCCTGGTATTCGGACATATCGAAGCGAATCATGGCTTTGGCATCGTCGAAGAGGAACTCGGCTAGAGCCTTGGTGAGCAGCGTCTTACCGGTACCGGAAGGGCCACAGAAGAGGAAGCTAGGCGGCTGGTTTGGATTGGCGAGACCAGAGCGCTGTAGTCGGATGGCATTGGATACAGAACCGACAGCTTCCTTCTGACCGACGACAATCTTTCCAAGATGTCGCTCCATCTGCAACAGCTTGTCCTTCTCCGTAGTCTTAAGGCGCGTCACAGGGATACCGGTCCAGCGGGCAACAATCTCATTGATCTGATCTGGGCCGACAGTATCGCTCTGAAGTGCCTCACCACCACCCTTCTGGTTGGCCCACATCTCATTGTCGGCGCGCTTCTTCTCCTGTTCAAGCTGGGAGATGCGCTCTTTGGTCTGCGGAATAGCGTGGTAGGTCAAATCCGAGGCTTTCGCGAGGTCGCGAACACGCTCAGCTTCGGCAAGCTTGTTGTTGAGTTGCTGGAGCTTCTCTTTCTGTAACTGAATCTCCTTGCTTCGACCCTTCTCGCGTTCGTACATTTCGCGAAGGGGTGCAAGGTCTTCTTGGATGTTGGCGGCTTCAGCTTTGGCCTCCTTGAGACGCTGCTGAGAAGCGTCGTCCTTTTCACGTTCCAGGGCGTGAATCTCAATCTCAAGCTGGCGCAGGCGGCGCTCCATGTTGTCAAGGGCTTCGGGTTGCGATTCTCGAGTAACGCGGACAGCTGCAGCAGCCTCGTCGATGAGGTCGACTGCCGAATCGGGAAGACGTCGCTGGGTAAGATAGCGAGCCGCGAGTGAAGACGCAGATACAATGGCACCGTCCGTAATGGTGACACCATGATGCGTCTCGTAGCGCTCTTTCAGACCACGAAGAATGGAGATGGTCTCGGGAATTGACGGCTCCTTGACGAGGACCTGTTGGAAACGTCGCTCAAAGGCCTGGTCCTTCTCGATATACTTCCTGTACTCGCCAAGAGTGGTCGCGCCGATACAGTGGAGCTGACCGCGGGCCAGCATGGGCTTCAGCAGATTAGCAGCGTCCATGCCTCCCTCTCCGGAAGCACCAGCTCCCATCAACAGATGGATTTCGTCCACAAACAACACTATCATCTCATGAGACTCGGTGATCTCTTTCAAAACACCTTTCATGCGCTCTTCGAACTCTCCACGGTACTTGCTGCCAGCGACCAGAGAACCCACGTCGAGCGAGAGCAGCCTGCAGGCCGCCAGTGTGGTGGGAACATCGGCGTCGACTATCCGGCGCGCCAGACCTTCCACGACCGTGGTCTTGCCGACACCGGGCTCGCCGATGAGGACGGGGTTGTTCTTGGTTCGCCGTGACAGAATGCGGACAACTCGTCGAATCTCCTCCTCTCGGCCGATGACTGGGTCGATCTTGCCTTCCCGGGCCATGGCCGTCATGTCGATGGTGAATTTCTTGAGGTTCTCATTCTCCTGCTCTGCATCCGCCGTCTTTGAGTCGATGCGCTTCGTGCCGCGAATGGCCTGGACAGCGTGGTCGATCTGCTTCGAGTCGAGTATATTGGCCTCGATCAGGATTTGTTGGATGCTGCGGTCCTGGCACACGCACTGAATGAGGTGCTCCACTGCGATGTAGCTGTCCTTTTGTGTCTTGGCGAGGTCTTCTGCGGCACGTAGAACCTTGGACATGGCGGGGGAGGGTGACGTTCGTTCGGGCGGCGGGTCCTGGCTCGGTAGCCGAACGAGGGCCTTCTTCAGTCCGCGATCAAAGGCTTGCGTATCGCCATTGGCACGTTCGAGGACCTGGCGGAAGAGAGGGTCCGGCGGACGGTCGACCTTGTTGGTCTCGTCGGGCGGCGGGCTGAAGAGGGAGACAGCGAGGTGCAATGGGGAGAGTTGTATGTGACTATAATCGTGGGCGAGCTCAAAGGCATTCTGGACTGCCTCGTATCCTTTGTTTGTGTATGATTCCTTGGAAGTCATGGCGAAAATGGGGTATCAAAAGCTGTAAAGACTCGAAGAAAGTTAATGTGTTGTTTGGTTTTGTTGATTGTTCTGGGGAGAAGGAGTCGTGGTGCAACCTCGAGGGTTTATATACTCGGGGCGGGGTGACGCAGAAAAGTCATGAAGCAACCAGTTGTATCGTGAGATTTCCAGGGGAGTCACTCATACTCATAGAAGCTTCGAGTGGCTTCATGCCAGGTTCCGGCCAAGTTGCGCTACGTCACCCCCCGCACTAGCCGAAAAGGGAATGGTCCTGTCGAGTGTCACCCCACCTTCCAAGGCTGCGAAATAATCAGACTCGTCTCGAATTCGAAAATCCTGGGAGAAGCGGAGCTTTGCAGATGCTGTTCTCCTGGTTCGACACCCGTCATCGAGACGGTCCGAATCAGCTCTAAACCGAATACAGACGTGGTAATTCAAGGAAATCTCTATCCACGCACCTGTCTTGAACCCTGGGTGCCTGGTCAAGCAACCACCGTAGCTCACTATCAACGCATATGAAAAAGACGCCAAATGCTCCAAGTCTCACTGAGACCTTGATTAATACAGTAGATTGTTATAGATCAGTATGCGACGTTGATGGGTGAGCTATGTGGTATGATAGCCTTGGAGACTCCGGCTGTGAACCCCAGTTTGAACCCGCTTTACCTTACCTACAAGTACACTACTATGACCTTCACTGCCCCTGAGCATCCCATATTCAACGTCGAAAATATCCGAACAATAAAGCATTGCCCTTGAGCCCTTTCTCGTGGTGTTCCCCAAATCCAAAGTCTCCAATCAGACACCGTAGATAGATAGTAATGCAGGTGCAACCCGGCGGAATTCGCTGTTCGGTTCCACCCCCTGTTCTGGCTCAGCCGCTCCACACACAACCCCGCTGCCCACAAGTCAAAATTGAGCCCCTGGTGTACGTATTTTTCTCATATCTTCTGGAAAATACAGTATAGATAATTTTCTATCTGGAAAATCTCGTAATTACACATCAGACCCAGTCAAGCAGCCAGCTTGGCGCAGTGGTAACGCGTCGCACTTGTATTCTATATGCACATGCGAAGATCACTGGTTCAATTCCAGTAGTTGGCAGACTATGAGCAAGAATCCACTCTGATAATTCTTTTTTGCAATTTTTTTCGGTTGGGGTGACGGCGCTTTTACGGCTACTTTTTGGCGGCGGGGAGGGATATGGAGGATGCGTGTGTGTGGAGTTGTAGAACCGAAAAAAGTTTAGGAACAAGACAATTTCCGATCAGTTTTTTTGCCGTCGTATCTCAGTCCTACTGAATGAAGCTGAATCTACATTGTTTCTGGTTTTTGGATGAGATCGCAATGCGCCGGTACATGACACTACCTTATTTTATTACAACCCTACGACTATCTACAACATGAGCACGTCAAGAAAAGTCCTATAACCCACCAAAACAAGCGATATTCCCATCTCCCAACATTTTACTACATAACCTACACGATACCGCAGCGCCGATCATCAAACCACCAAAACATGGCAGAAAATGCACGATACGTGAGGCAAGAACACAACAAACCCCAAAGCGAAGATGGAAGATGTGTGAAAAGGTAATAGATTGTATCTATTCAACCTGAGTAGTACAACTCACATATGAATCATGATATATTCAAACTACAATCGACGAGTTTTCCTCCTCTCCACATCCCATCCCCACAGACCACCACGCCGCAGATCCACCCACCCACCCATCCATCCAACCAACCATCCATCTATCCGCGCCTATCATTACCCAACCGCGACCCCTCACCCCAAACCCCGAGTTCATTGCACCATATTGTATGTCAGTGACCACCATACATGCTCACGACTCACGACTCACGACTCACGAGTAATGAAGGAAATTGCGATATGCGGATTCAGTAGGTGGTATAATATAATAACCAACGGACCATACCACCACCTAGGCGGGTGGGCGTACTTCGTATTTGTACTTGACAAGCGGGAGTTTCCTGACTTACAAATGGCGAAGAATATATTGCGATACTATCGTAGTAGATGGAAGAATGCGCTGCGTGTCTGTCTGCATATGATGAGTGGTATACTGATATACTGATGATGATGGTGATGATGATGGTGATAACTTACTTTACTTTACTTTACTTACTAGATAGATAGATATACCTACCAGTCTTACGATCAACTCCCTATCGACCCTCTTCAATCAATCGATCGATCAAAGCATCACAAACAAGAAAGCAAATCCACCACCACCACCACCACCACCACCAACGACACAAACATCGAAATCGCACACGCACACACGCACACAAATATCATACACCAAGCCAGAAAAAACCGATGATTCAAAAATGCATAACCCAATCCATCTATAAAAAAGCCTCAACCCAACCTAAAGGAAACAAGCACCAAAACCTACAACCTCTACCTCCACACAGACAAATGCATCGACCCTACGCACCCCATCACACAAAACGCACAAAAGTGTACAAGAAACAAATGGGACAAAAACGTGTATACATCAAGAACAGAAAAAAAAACTTAAAAAAGCGGGGATGGTGGTGGGAGAGCCACCAAACACACAAAAATGCCGTATATACACACACATATATATATATATCAATCCAGCACATCCCGCCAAAAACACAAGAGCGAAAAGACAGAAAAAAGCAGCGCAAATACGCCAAAAAGCACCACGCCGTCGCCATGTTGCAAAAAAAAAAAACGCTGAGAGAAAAAAAAATTGAGGAGGAAGATATGATATGTGTACGCATACAGTCATTCAGACCCGGCCGTTCATGGACATGAAAGGAAAGGAAAGAACAAGTCAAAAAAGGTCAGAAAAGAGAAGACATGGAAAGCGGAGGGATATCAAAACACGCGAAGAAGAAAAAATATCCGCATCGCCCCAACAAACATAACGTCTCAAAAGGTCGTCGGCATCATTATCGCCATCCCATCCCATCCCATCCCGTCGCGTCCCATCTTTCGCATCCATCTCGCTTGGTTCAAGAAGGGAGGGTTATACACCGCCCATATCGACTTCCCGATTCCCAGCCCACGACGGGTGCAAGAACACAGCCTCGCCAAAGTCTCCAGGGCTGCCGATGAATCTTCGTCGATCAGGCTGTCCAGCATTTTCTAGATCCATATCCACATCACCACTCTCCTTCACTACCATGCCATCGAGGTCCATGGCCCGGCCAGCAGCCTGCCGCCGTGTCTTCGGTTGGGCGAAGGGGCGGAGTGGGGTGCCGGGGAAGGCGTGGATGGAGTTGGGGGGCGGCGTTTCCGACATTGGGGACACGGGGATGTCGTCTTCGCTGACCTTGACGGGGATCTTGAAGAAGAAGTCCGAGTTGAGTTTCACCGGCTTGTCGTCTTCGTCGTTCCAGGAGCGTTTGTAGGGGTTCGTGGGGTTCGGTCGCAGCGACGACATGGAGAAGGAGGAGTCGGTGGACGATTGGGAGGAGAAGGGTTGGGTGAAGGCTTCCGCGGGGAGAGGGAAGAAGTTCAGGGCTCGCTCGCCTGATGCGGATGTGCCGCCATACAGATGCACGTTGGTGACCGGTTGTTCGGCATATCCACCAATCTTCTGCAAGCCACAGTATGGCAGCAGCTCCCTCTGATGTTGGTAGTCATCGGGGACGGCATCCTGCGGCGGCTTGACGCTGTAATTCGTCTCCGTCATGGTCGTTGTACCCTTCGAACCCCCGTTTCCGGCAATGGCGAGAGTCGTCGTAATGGACGGTATTGAGAGCGCTTTGTGCGTCTTGTAGCCCTCGGGCACACTCTTTCTGACCCTCATCCCGACGCTGAGTAGATCGGCCTGCACGCGGTCGGGAAGGTCGGGGATAAGGCTGTCTCGCGGTTGTTGTGAGCGTCTCGCACTCTGAAAGCTAGCGTGATGTTGGTGCTGTGATCGGATAATCGGCCCCAGACCCCGCTCGCTACTCTGTTCCCCGTCGAAGTCGCTCTCGGTCTCGCTATCCAGATCCCTGTAGGCGAAGAAGGTCGTAATTGGGGGCTGATACAGCCTCTTGTTCCTGTGAGAGTCGACGTCGGCGGTTTGGAAAGGAGCGTGGTGGTGTGGCGAGCGCATTATTGAGCTGTGGGAATGCGAGGAAGGGGGAACAAAGATGAGACACTAAGGTCGTCGAGGATGAGGGGCTGGTCGCCCTGTGATGTTGGAACGGATACGAAGGGACCCTGGCTCTTTTCGGGAGCTGAGATGGAACGAGACCGGGGGGTGTCCGCTGTGAGCTTCGCTTCGCCGTAATCAATACCGTAATCTCCAACAATGGCCGATTTGTAGAGCAGTCGGCGGCTTTGGCGAGCAGAATAGCAGTGATGGTGGGAGAGGCGAGGGAGCCGCGGCACGATGACGCTGTCCTGATGCTAAAGCGCGTCGGCAAGAGGTCGCGGGTGTAACGCGCTCGTTCGACGGGCGGGGATTTCACGCGTCCGCTGCAGGCCAAGTTGGTGGTGAAATGTCATTAGGCGAGCAGATCGGTCATCAATGTGAATCAGCGGCCGACTGTCGAGGCGTAAGCGAGCCGTCGGGGTTAAAGCAGGTGTAGCTTAAAATAAGTCACTGACCTCACCGTTCGGCCTAGGAGCGGTCGCGATGGGCGCGTCGAGCAGATGAGATTGATAAGATGCTTGTAGAACTTTATGCATGCAGTATGCTTGTCTGCCCACGTCTTCTAGAAGGCCTAGAAAGAATAGGCTGTGTAATAATAAGAGGCAAATATAGCTTCACCAACAACTCCAACATCCAAGTGCAAATACGTTCTTTAATCATAAGCCTCCCTGGTATCCAGTCACACCCTCATTACCCTCTCCCCATCCCCGCCCCAACCCTCCCATCGCCCATCTACGAAGCGACCTCCATCTCCTTCCTCTGCTGCCTATGCGCCCATTTGTCCGCACACCAGCCCAACACACCCAATGCCGAACTCCCGATCAGCATCAACATAACGACAAGGGTTCCGTACAGCGCAAACTTGCTCTGGTGGCACAAGCTCGCAAAGTTGGCGTTGCCCATGTTGGACGGCATGGCGAGGTCTTGCTGCAGAGGATGTCCGTTCTTGTACTTGCAAGTCCAAGTCTGGATGGTGTCGAAGTCGGGAGCTTGGTTGTTGAGGACGTGGGCGTAGATGATGGTGGCGAGGCAGAGAACGGCGCTGGGGGCGGAGGACCCGAGAGCGAGGAGAGCGCGGAGCGTGGGTTTGGAGGCGACGTTCAGCTGTTTCTTGTCAACACTGGACCGACAATTATGCCTCCCCTTTTTCGAGAAGTAGTCGAGAGGGTTAGATGGTGTAAATTACCTTGGGTATCAGACTCATGACCAGAAACACGCCCGAAAGTACGAGCGTGACCACGGCACTTGCAACCAGCGCTTTCGTCCCATGAGCGTCGAAGTGGTCGGGCCAGAGCGGGAGCCACCAGGGGTTCGACGACTGTTGTTTATTGAAGACATCGAGGGTGTGTGCCGCAGTACCGAGAATGGCAATGCCCATAGCGACGACGAGTCCAGTGAGGACTGTCTGAGCGAGGTGGAGAGGTTGTGGGTTGATCTTCATATTTCCTTCTATTTCTCTTCAAGACAGTGAAGTCGTTCGTAGATCGTAAAATGCGCAAGAACAACAAGGGGAAATATGGTATGACGGCGAGGGTCAAGTCGTAGATATAGAGTCAAGGAGAGGCAGTTTGAAAGGAGGGCACACAACCAGGAGCACCCTTAACCAATTCAAATATAAGAAAAGAATTGAAGAATTGAAGATAAGAAGCGAAGACAGAAACCTCTGTGGGATATGGGACGCGCGACTCTTACTTGCCTGGAAACATAACTGGGAGAGGAATCACAGTGCCTTTAAAACAATCTTGGTCGCGAGATGGACGTTTCATGCATTATGCCCCACAGCGAGACGCCCGCCCTACCACTCAGGCTTTCGAAATAGACATGGGGAAATGAGGAACAGATACACTTAGCCGCCCTTCCTACGAGAACCTAGAATGAAGGGTTCGTCGATCGCTGTTCCTGGTTTAGCAGCCTGGTGGAGTGGTGAGGTGAGGAGGTCGCGGGCGCGTATGCTGG